TTTAGGAAAACAATAAGAGAAAAAACATATTCACAGGAAAAATAAATCAATAGAAACCGTGAATGAATAAGTTTAGACATTAAAATTATTTAAAAAGATCATTGATTTGACTGAAATATGCTTTTAGATATAGAAAAACATGAATAAAGAATGAAAGTAATCAGGTACATACTATGTTAATTGACTATCAACATAGATACTGAAAAGAATAATTGATAATTTTAATATGAACAATATATTGACTATAAGGACACTTTACTGTAGGGATTAAACAGCATATATGAGCAGAAAGAAGAATCTGCATTATTTAAGATTGGTCGATAGATTACCCAATCTGAGAAAGATAAAGAATAACAAATAAAGATGAATAGAGACTGGGGGAGGCCTATGGTATAATGGTTAAGCCAATTGGATCCCACACGACAGATCATGCTGTCCAACTCCTGTACCAGTGGCTTGAAAAACACCCCAAGTTTGTGTACTCGTGTGGCTGAAATTCTGAATGGAGGAACAAATGGAGGAGAAAAGTGCTTTCTCACTGTAGCTCTCCCTTGTAGTTTCTTCTGTGAGCATGCAAGTCCTCTGGAAAAAAAATAATTTAAAAAATTTTAGAAAGATAAAATAGAGCCTAAAGGGGAAAGAAAAAAATACCCAAATAATAATGATTACAAACTTTCTAAATTTGGTGAAAGTAATGAATTTACTCATATGCGATCACTGTTCTCCAACTATTATAAAAAGACTCATTGTAATGAAATTGCTCTAAACTAAAGAAAAAGAATTTTGAAAGTTGTAAGACTGTAGCCACTTCTTAGACACAGTGGATTTTCTTTCACACACACACACACACACACATATATGTATATATTACATTTAATCACATATATCTTTACAATGTATTACATTTCTTTCTCCAGCATGATTACCATGCATATCAATCAGTACAAAGACATTAATATTCACATCATCCTCAAATAGCTTTTCATCATTTTTTCACATGATGATGATGATGATGATGATGATGATGATGATTTATTCTCATTATCTTTTAAACATTCAATCACTTTATATCATTTGATTTGTAAAGAGAACTTACTCAAGATGAAATATTTTCAGATCAGTCCAGTTGAGAATACCATACATGTTATCAATAGGTAATAAACCATTTCTGTGTCCCACTAATGTCATGCCTCTCTATTTGTTCTCTTGCTATCCTTCTCTATATACTTCCCTTATTCCCCCCACCCCTGTTCCACACGGTCTTCATCATCTATAACTATTTTCATTGCTTTTATGCCCTCCAATATTTCAATCTCTACCATAAAGAGTGGATAGTCAGTATATATTAAGTGGGTACATACAATATCTTTCTTTCATATCCTGGCTAGCTTCACTCAGCAATAAACCTTCCATGTTTGACCACTTTCAATCAGATGCCAGGGTCTTATTTGCACAGGGGTTTTTCAATAAGATTACTGAATGAGGTTTTGGTGGAATCATTACCCATGCATTTTTTTTTTTTAAATCCTTAATGGGGTAACTAGTCTCTGCAATCCTTCCAAAAGTACAAGATTGCTTTTTGTATGCCAATTTCCAAGACAGAGGCAGATCTAGTGTTTTCCTTTTAGACTTTTCCCTTATAATAGACCTCACTACACATGCCTGGGACCCATGTGATGATTACTGAATTTCAATAATTTACTTCTAAATTTGGTAGATAACCATAGGGTAGGTTTAATGGGTCCACTGGGACCATTCTTACACAACCCTGAGATAATTCTTCATTGATTATCTGACCTTTGTAAGCCACTACTCTGACTTCTGAGCCAAAGAAATTTTTTTTTCTCCTAGAATCGATGTCACTTCAGAGCCAGTGTTCAGTTGTGTCTCCAAGTTCAGATTATTTTCTTTATCCCAATGTTCAGTTATCTTGACAAAAAGCCTTTTTTTTTTTTTGAAAAGTCCTGAAATATGGTAACCACTATTTTTATGACTTTTTAGAAATTTTTTGCTATAAGGTACATGCACTCACTGGAGAGACAGAAAAAGACAAAGAGAGAGTAAATAAGAAATCACCCCCTAGGGGGACTGGCCATTCCACAATCCTTCTCCTTCATTCTCCTTTCAGGATTTGGGCAAGCACTCACATACTCCTGGCATGATTTTAAAGTCACTGGGTTGGGACTGGAACTCTGTCAGCCAGGTTTGAGTCCATGTCTTACCCCCTCATCTGCTGGCCCTAGGTTATTATTTACTTTTAGTTCTGTACTGGAGTCTTTTCCACAAGGAGATCTATAACTTAAACATAGGATTCTGGGTATGTAAACCTGCTCAAATTTGGGAATTGAATGAGTAATGTGCTTGCTTTTATGATTAAGTCTAGACTTGCTTTCACATAACATAGACTTATTCTACTTTTATGGACAAGAATACAGGAGGTTTCCTGTATCATTTACTAGTACAAACACCATGACCAACTAATAAACATGGTATGTCTACACAAGTCAAACCATTTTAGTTGTTATCAATTATGGTACCAACGTCTGCTCTGTTTTCAGTCTTCAGTCAGACTTTTGACCCCTGCCACCTTTTCATCTAATTACTTCACTGGGATTTGGGTTCCTATCTGATTATCTGAAATTTATACAGTAATGTTTTCTACAGAGATGAGCATTCATGGGTCATTTGTCCTAGGGCACACACGTATATGTGCTTGGCCTGAGTTTTAAGCCGCCAGTTCCTGGACTCAAACTGTGGATGACTATGTGTGATATAGCGACATAACCATTAGTTCGTGTGCTGTCCTTCTATGAATCTTTTGAATTAATTCCTAATTTCTTCAGGAGTTTTTGTCATTCATGAGTAGATTGTTTAGTTTCCACATGTTTGTGATTTTCAATTTTTTTTTCTTTCCTATAGTATCGGGGGGAAGAAAAACTCTACTTCTTAGATGTGTTCTTGGTAGAGGGCCTTGTCTTCCAGTTAGAGAAGTGTGTATATAACCACCTTTAGGTGTTGATTCCTTTTCCAGTCTCTTAAGACCAGGTGCAGCTGGAACTAACCTAGAGATTTTCAGATGGAAGAGGAAAAAGGAGAGGGCCACATGGTCTAGAAAACTGTGAAGTCTCAAAATATTCCTGGGTGGGCACATGGTAGCTAGAGATCTGAGTCAGCTTTCCTGCCTCAGTTGCCCTCATTTGCTGCCACTCCGCCATGGTCCACAGTTGTACAGACTCTGGGAATATGGTGGTGGACAGGTATACCTGGGGTAGATTGGGAGGCAGAAAGAAGCCTGGTGCATCTCCTGCCTCATTTGCCCTCACTGGCTGCTGCTTCTCCCTCGTCCACAGCAGCACAGGCTCAGGGATAATGGCGGTAGACAGATGTATCTGAGATGGGTTGGGAGTAAGGAAGAAGACTGGTGAAGTTTATTTCAGAAATGCTCACTTGCTCACACTCTATATTGGTGTCTTTTTTGTTTGTTTTAGGTTTGTGATATGTAATAATTCTTACTATTCTATGGATATCAATACTTTGTGACATGTGTTTTAAAGCAGAACATTAATTCAAATGTACATATAAGATTTCACTTTATTACCTAATTGGCACTACATTTATTCCATTTTTCTTTAAAATTTGTCAATTAACTTAATGACTTTTATTGAAAATTCTGTTGTCAATTTTTCCTCTGATTTGCCTAAGACCAAAGCTTTATTAATTTTTAAAATTAATGCATGCCTTATATTGCAGGATTTTTATTGTAAGAACATGTAATGACCTCTCTATGTTCAAGATAATTAGGTTTTGTCAACCTGGACCACAGGCATCTACAGTAAAAATAATAGGTAGCTTTCAGGAGAGCTTTAGGAATTCTCATAGGTTGATTTTTATACAATTATATAATTTTTTGTATCCTTTGAATTGTTACTAATTTAGTTAGTCACAATGTGCCTAGTTTTAAAAAACAATTATTTTGTTATTTTTAGTTAGGCTAAAGAACTTATGTATCCATATAGGAATTATGGAAGATAAGAGACAACACAATATTGAAGAAAGAGAACAAAATTGGACACAGCTCTCTAAAGGATGGTTATAGATTAATTATTATTATTTGAAAACATATTCAACAAGTTACATCATACCATCAGTAAGAAATCTAAATTATGCTGTGCCTTTCTACCTTACTGTATACTCTTATTACTTCCAGGAGCTTTTTCATGGATATATTTGGGTCTTCTATTACTACAATTATATCATTTGCAAATAGAGATCATTTCACACCTTCTTTACCAATTTGAATGCCTTTTATTAATATAGACTAATTGTCATTATTTGAAAATATATTCAACGAATGACATCATACCATCAGTAAGGAATCCAAATTATGCTGTGCCTTTCTTGGGAGGGAGTGGAAATATATGTGCACATTTGTAGAGAATGAAAGATAAGCATCTGTAGAGCGTAAGTTCTACATTATCACAACCTACATTGAAGATCTCATATTCATTATCGAGGTTGAAAATAGGAGTAATTGCAACCAGGCCAAGGTATTAAAGAGTAGTGAGAAACAAAATGTTAGTGAATCAAAGATTTTCTCAAATAGCTCAATTTTATAACAGAAAGCAAGTAGAGTCATTTATTGCACTTCTAGTTCCACATATATTCCTCTGAATGCATTTCAACTGAAAGAGT